GGGTACCTGAAGGAACCCTTTAAGAGTTACCACAACAGTATTGGCTATGTGTACTTTGGCTGCACAGGTGATGGTCAAGGAAAGAAACTGAAAATTGCATTGATGAGGTGCTCCAAAGGTTCAGATGTTCCTGGGGGCTCTTTGTCTGCTGCAAAAGATGCCATCTCTCTACTTAGACCCAAGGCTACTTTTTCTGTTGGTGCGTGCAGTGGTTTGAACAACAGAGAGGTCGAGCTAGGAGATGTGGTTGTTTCATCAAAGCTGATAACAGCTGCACACCAAACTCCCCCCAGCAGAAATATTGGTAACCTGATCAAACATGTGGCTGATGGGTGGAAGGCACCTTTCCAAAATGCTAATGAATGTAATGCCAAAGTGCACTGTGATGGAGTGGTTCTGAGTATCCCAGAGGTAAACAAGGAGATAATTGACCGACATCCTGAAGCAATTGCAGTTGAAATGGAAGGTGGAGGTGAGAACCATATTGATGAAAATACTGGTGATTGATATGTAAACGATGTTAGCACTTGTAGCAAGTGTCTTTAAAAACACTGCTCTGGAATTGTCCCTGCTAGTCCAAGAAAAATATCATGTAGCATGCTAACTTTGCAGGAATTATACATGTATAATGTGTATTTTTTATTATAACAGTGAATTTGTGATAGGTAAGGGTAGGGTAGGAAGGTATTTTTACAGGTGAAGGTGACTGAGATGTGTTTTGGCTATCCAAATTGGATATGCTCCCTCAGGATGTCAAGAATTGTTAAAATTTTTCACCTGAAAAATGTAGAAAGTTTCTTGTTAAATAGTTGTAAGCTTTAGGAATACGAATAGTATCATGGTCCCAGCTATCAACCCTTTAACTCCCCAGACTGACCAAGACGGAATTTCTCCCTCCAATATCAATAAAATTATGATATCAAGCAGACAAGTAATAAGAATAGAACAAATATCAAGAAAGGGATTATTAGTGGATCCAAAACCCAATTCCCCCAACCAACATTTTAGGATAATTAGATCTAGGGAGTGAAACAGTTAACTCTAGTTGACAACATTTTGTCTCTTTGAGAAAATAATGTAAACTGAAATTAATTTTATAGTCTTGGTGAACAAGTTTTCTTGTAAACATTGGTTGCACATGTAGGGACTTACACTAATCTCTTTCTATGATGTGGATGTTTACCAGAAGCTAGAGTGTGAATCTGTGTGAACTTCAATTGAACAATAATTATCACAAGGATGCAAAGAAATAAGCTTATAATGGTTAAAAGACATGTCAGTGTTAAGAGACATTCATGAATGTTTTATTTTTTCAGGAGTGTTTGCAGCAGCCCATGATTTTAAGACAGAATGGGTGGTAGTCAAAGGCATCACAGACTTTGCAAATGAAAGACAGTCTTCAAGTGAGAAATGGAAACAAATTGCTTGTGTGATGGCGGCATCTGTTGTGGCCAACATTTTGAGTGATTCAGTCATATTCCAAGATTGGCCTCACTATAATGCACGTATTTCTGTCTCAATCTTTTTTTTTAAGGGATAGATATAATTTAGATCTAAGTTCCCACGGCATATTTTTGTATGGATTGCAATCAGATTTCCGCCGCTTTCTCGAGTCCAGTCTTTTTCGTTCCTCCCCGAGAAGAGAGCTGTAACGTATTTGAAAAAATTAATTGATGCGTTCTCAGTTGTCACCGGAGATGAAATAGGACTCCAATTCGAATGGATGGCACACATATAATCGCCATACGTCGACTAAATTTAACTCTAAAACTGGATGTGTCTTCTATGGCTGCGAAGTAAAAGATTCTAAAAAGAAATCTAAGGTGTCTGATTAGCGGAAAAGAATTTGCGGCGTAGTGAAGATTCCCCTTTCTCGTATAGACGTGGAAGGTTACATTTGTAACGATGACTGCTATCGACAAGTCAAGCGCCTTCGAAGGCTCCGAAAAGATACAAATACCCTTCATCGCTCGTTCAAGGAAAATTTTGAAGCGATTAATGGAACGAAGCGTGGTATGCCCTGTGACTGCAGCAATCGCAACTTCCCAACACCACAATTACTGATAAAAAAGGCGATTTAAGGACGTCAAAGGATGTGGTGAGCGTTTTGGGTTGAAACTTAAAACTCATAAATAAATACAAAATTACGACAATTGATTAAGTAAAGGTAATAGGAAAGAAATACACTGAGCCAACTTAAAACGAAAATACTTACATTGTTACGATTACTGCAAAACTGCGCTTGACGAAAAAAACACTGTCCAAAGACGAAATGAAGAATGAAGGAACTGCTTGAAAGCGAACTGCAACTAGCGCGACCAACGAAAACTAGGTTTATAGATGCACGAAGAACTAACATTAATCATGCGAAAACGACTAACGGAAAGTGCAATCGACGCCAATAACTGCGAAAGAACCATTAATGAACGAAAGTATGTGATAGGGAAAACAACAGAAGCTAACTAACCTGTGAAAAAACGCTAATAGACGGCGAGAAACAGCAACAACACAAAAGAGACACCCTAATTAATGATTGACTACATTCCGTACTCTAAGATCCTACATGCCCTCCGCAATCTCGCTAGGTGTTACCGCGTCTTCAACTTCACCGCGCAGCAGATCAAGGGAGAATTGAGGCCGCAAAAAACTATCATTAAGAACTAATTTATAATAGCGCTTTCAAGAAGAAAATAAAACTACACTGAGAAATATTATGTGGTTCTTTCAAGGGGTCCAAAGAGATTAGTTTCTTTTCATTCTCTGCAATCTAGTGAACTGCGTGCTTGTATTT